CCTTCCCCCATTAATTAGCTCGGTATTAACCTCTGCCTGGGGTTTACTGGCTATTGAGCGGCATGTTCATTAATCCACACACCAGCAAAAGGCTCTAATTAATACAGCCGGCCACATGTCCGCACTTGGCAACTTTTAATTGTCGCAGGCCCGTCCGGGGAGGGCGAAGGTTAAAGCATTTATTGAGTCCCCAGGAGCCCGCTCAGCCCCCCATGCCGATAGCAAAGATTTCCGATGCAGTCGGGCTGGCTGGAGAGCCCTTAACCCCTGGGTGCCCAGCACTGGGTGGACTGGTGACCCCACTCTGGTGGCACCGTGGGCATCGCTAAGAGGTGCCAGTAACAGGCATCTTCACCCGGCACAGCTAACAGGGAGTCCTGACCAGCATTCCAACCAGGCATCACGAAAAGGCATCGATAATGGGCATCATTAATGGATGTTCCTAACGGCTGGCATCCCAGCTGGGCATCTCAAACAGGTGTCACCAGTTGTAACTGCCACCAGCCTCAGCTTGGGGGGCCCAGCGAAACCCCTTTGGCCAGCCAGCACCCTGTGGCAGGGGTCTGCCTGGGGCAATGGGCGCAAATCTGCCGGGTGTGAGGTTACACGTGTGCATGTTTGTGTGTAGGAGAAGGGGATGGGAGCCATCGTAGGACCTGCCTGAGGGCTTGCAGGGACCCAGAGAAGCTTGGGACCTGAGTGGAGCATGCCACCTTTACCTCTCTTCTGCATGAAACCAAAGAGGTCATCCAGGAACTCCTTGCGTTTTGGGTCCTCATCCAGTTCGTAGAGCTGAGGGCAGGAGAGAGAGGAGTCAGTGCTTCCAGAATGTGTGGGTACAAAAGGCAGAGGGGTCAGTGCCAGGGACAGGATGCCACCTGTGCCAGGACCCCACATCACCCCTGACCCCACCTGCCAGCTCTGGCAGCCACGAGAGGCTCTCCCTGTGCCACAGACAAGATTCCCTGGCACACCCTCTGTGCTGTGAGTGCTGGACTCTCCCCAGGCCTGGGGCCTGGAGTGGGCTCCCTGCCACACCATTGACTATTTGACACCCTTGCTGCCGAAATTCTGATGAAGGTGATGCAAATAGAGATGGGGCAGCAGCAAATTCCAGGTGCCTAGGCAGGTCCCTGGGACCAGGATGCTCATCTCATCTCAGGCCAGTGATCACCAGGTCCCAGCATGGGATCAGCATCCTCACCTGCAGGGCCACACATCCACTTGCACAACAGAGATGCCAGTCCTGTCCCAGGGCAGGGCAACGTGGTGGGGCCACAGCACTGGGTGCTGGCAAGGGAGCAGCAAAGCACTGGGACTGCCCCACTCGACTGGGGTGACAGGGCTATTGTTGACCTGATAAGCACAGCCCAAGTCGTGTCACTGTGAGATGGGGCTTGATCAATGGTCAAGGACAGTGTGAGGCACCTCCACAAAGGATACACTTCCAAATCCTCCTCCCTTAGCTGGGCATGGTGACCCCAACGCCATCTGCCCCTCAGCTGCATATGGGGACTGAAGTGTAAGCATGGCAGCGAGGCATCCCTGCAAGGCACAAGAACTTCCCGCCCTGGGGGTGTGTGTGTGTGCAAATCCAGATGTGCTCGCACTGTGCACAACTGTAGGAGCACAAAACGCAGCGCTGTGTGTGCCCCGACGCCAGTGCTCACGTGTCCCAGCAAGTGAATGCCGGTGAGCATGCCTACAGTTGCACAGATGCGCTCATAAGGCAGTGAGGATGCTTCTGTGTGTTGGCTGTATGCAGATCCGGACACACGGACACGACCCCTCAGGCTGAACTGACGGATGGCACTGGGGAGGTGAGTGAAGCCCCTAGACCGAGGACGTGAAGCGCCGGCTCCGTGCGAAAGCCAGGGCTCGTATGATTCCAGCACAGCGCCTGGGTGACCATGACAAATTGGAGCCCGCCAGATCGATGGCCCAGCAGTAAAAGTCAGAGCACATGAAGGAAAAATTAGCACCAATCGAAGGCGCTATAGACACCAATTCCTCCCAGCAAGCCCGGCAAGAATTTAAAGCCATTGAAAAGAAACAAAACTCAGCAGTCCAGAATGGATTTCCAAAACATATACAAAGAAATGCAAGCTGGAAAACAAAGTCAGGCACAAAATAGAGTCGTTTAAAAAACAATTGTGCTGGAAAAGGCTGTTAAAAACCAATAGAAAGGGAGCGCTTCCCCCTCTACACAGCACATCATTCACTGGATAGATAAAGGGAGCTGTGCTGCAGGGATGTCAGGCTGCAGAGATGTGGGAACAGGGGAGATGCAGAGATGAGATGGGGGCACATGAATGCAGAGGTATTGGGATGCAGGGAAGTGGGAACATGGGAATGTAGGGATGTGGAGATGCAGGGGCTTGGGGGAACATGGAGATGTGGGGATACAGGGATAGGAGGACACACAGGAATGTGGGGATGTAGTGCAGGGACATGGAGACAGAAAGAGACACTGCAGACACCCCACAGTTCCCATCACGGGACAGACACATCTAACACAATCCCTCCTCTAATCCATGGGTGCCAGCTGCCTGTCCCTTGTCTAACAATTGAGTTCTAACTGCAGGTCTCTAACTCAGTCCATGTCTGCCACTGCCAGTCTTTCACCACACCTACAGGTGCTGACTGCCTAGCTCCCAGCCCCTTCCCTGTCCACTGGGTGCCACTCACCTGTCCCGTCCTTGCAGCAGGGTGCTCTCGGGTTGCCCCAACCCCTGAGTGCCAGCACCACATCCCTACCCTCTACTGTGGTGCCCCCTGCCCCACATTGTGTCCCCTCCTCATTGCCTGCTCTCTCCTAGGAGCTCCTCAAGCCATCGATTACAGTAACTAGGTCAGGCTTGGAGCAGAGCTCCAGGGGGCTGCTTTGATTTCTGCCCCGGGAAGGCTGTGTGAGTAAGGCTTTGCCTGCATTTCTCTGCCTGTCCCTGACTGCAGCAGAGCTCTGACCCCACCACTCCCGCTTCCACTGACTGTGATCTGGCTTCTCAAAGCAGGAGCAAACACCCCAAAACCAGCAACAGCTGCCCATCCCACAGCAGGGTGAAGCCACCACCTTCCCAGGCAGTGGGTGGGCTCCTGCACCCAGGTCTCTGTCGGACCCCTAATTGCTGCTTCTGGCCCCTACATCTCTGTCAGACTCCTGAAGGGCGCTTCTGCCACAAGGGCAGGCAGGATCCCGCCCAGTGTGTGCTGTCACTGCCTCCAGCCCCCAAAACAGGTGTGACCTCCAAGTGCTGGGACCTATTTTTCCACCATTTATTAACCTCTCACCTTTTATCTGTGGGGCACTGAGATGCAAAAACATTACATCAAACAGGGAGCAAAGGTCAGATTTTTAAGCAGAGACAAGAGCGAAGCTGAGTAACAGGGGATCAGCCAGCAAGGCCCTCAGGTGTGCCAGGGATGCACTGGGCATCCCACAAGATTTGGGGATGCTCAGGCTGGAGAAGATGTGGTTTTGGGGTATACTTGCTGATGAGAGGTGAGCTGGGTCTCAGCCAAGGTTGGCCATGGGATCCAGGTGTCATGGGAGCAGCACAGGAGTTGCAAGGGTGGTAGCACAGGTCAGGGCATGGGTGGTGGTCTGCCACCAGGCAAGGAGGGATCTCCAGACAGCCCCAGCCCTGAGGAAGGAGCCAACTCCATTCCTTCTCTACTTCCCCAGGGCACTGGACCCTGCCACTCACCCTCCTCCACTCCTCCTCCATGGTGAGCATCGTGATCCCCTTCCATCTCACTTGGAGACTGACCATCTAAGAGGCATATCACAACCCTCCAGAGTTGTACACAATCCCTGTGGGGACACACACACCTCATGTGTGTGTGTGCACAGCACCACACAGGCTGACACAACTCCACAAACGTGTGCACAAGCGCATGCAAGCATATATAGCCCTCTATGAGCATGCACAATGCTGTATGGGCTCATACAGCCCCACAGGAGTGTGCACAACCTTGCGTGGGTACACATGACCCCCACACAAATGTGCACAGCCCTGCACACGCACACACATCCCCCCAGGGCCACACATAAGCTTGCACGGGCTCGTGCAACCCTGCACAAACACACACAACCCTGCATCGGTGTGCACAACCCAGCACTGGTGCACAGAACATCCCCTGATTGTGCACAACCTTGTATGTGCATACACAACTCATCCAGGCACAGCCGAGGTCACTGGTCCTGGTGACTGGTGCAGCAGAAAAGGCACAAAGTCTTTCTGAAGCAAACTAAGAGATACCTGCTTGTTGTGCATGTGGTTCTCCTTGGCTGGATGGTGACCAGAGGCACAAAAAGCCATGTCTGGATGTGCACAGCCTCCCATGGGTAAATACAACCTCAGGTAGGTGGACACAACCCCAGGTAAGCACACACAGATTTTCACGGGCGCACACAGCTCCACACGGGCATGCACCACCCTGTACCTGCATGCACAGCCCTGCATGGACATGCACCCCGGATGGGCACACAAAGCCCGAGAGGGACATGCACAATCCCAGATGGGCACGCACAACCCCAGATGGGCACGCACAACCCCAGGCAGGCACACACAGCCCCAGACAGGCACACTCCCCAGGATGGTCACCCTCCCACCCTGCAGGGCGACACACCACACCAGAGCATCCCCTCACCCTGCACTGCGAGGCAGCCGGGCAGGCTTTGCCCAGGGGCTATTGTGCAACACGAGCAGCGGTTCCTGCTTGCGGTGACCTATGAGCAAGGACCCTTTTAATCGTGTTTGTATTGATATAATTAGTAACTCATTTAACACCATCGATGTAACTATATTCCTCTATAAACAGAAGTATTAAACTGTCAAGCCCGGGGATCGATATCCCGCCAATGCGCAGCACAGCTCTTCTCTGCCAACACCGGGGACTCCGGCCACGCTGCTCAGCATCCCCCAAAAGCTGTGGCACCCCCAGTACCACACCATCTCCACCTGGCATCACTGCTTGTGTGCTGGATTAGGGCCAGCGCAGGGTGTTCCTGTCCCCACCCCACCCTGGGTGCAGCTCTGGTCACCCTGCTCCCTTCCATCATCCTATTGCCATGGCGACATCTTTATTCCTTAAGGGATGGGGATAACAGGGCTTGTCAGGCAGGTTAAAGGTCAGCGGGTCGAACATGGTTTATTAAGGGGATGTGAATAGACCTTGTGCCTCTCCCTCCTCCTCACCACGATTAAATAACATTGTTAGCACTTCTCCCTTACCCAGGAGATGTGTGTCCTGGAGCTGGGCAGGGCAGGACTAGAGCTAGGGTCCCTGGCATCCCTTAGCCACGCTGACCCCGTAGACCCTCCAGGATGCTGTGAGGGGCTAAGCCACCCCACAGGCACCTCCACGCTGCCCTGCCCCAGAGAGCCCCCTGTCACAACCCCCACGCCCCGGTACTGCTGACAAGTGAAGTGATCTCAGCTAGTCCTCCTGCAGCCCCTGCCTAGCTGCCACCTCCTGCTGGCATCCAGGGCTCAGATCAGCAACCAGGATTTAATCCACTTAATACGAGTAGTATTGATCCCAGACCTTGCTCAGCTCCCCCCAGCTTCGCATTCCCCTCCCGCAACCCTGATCCGCTTAATATGCACCGCATTGATTAGCCGTGCTGCTAATTTTTCCATCTGGCCACTGTTCACGCAGGAAACTCAGGTAATGCTTGCCTCCAGGCACCCCCAAAGCCCCCCCAGGTGCAGCCCCACGCCACGGGTGGCCAACCTCTAATGAGCTATTTTGGAGTCCTTGCATCCCTCTGGAGCATTACTGTCACCTCTGAGCTGGGGGTTTCTGCCTTCCTCCCCAGGGATATGGTGCACAGCCAGGCACTCAGACACTAGAGGGGACAGGAAAGGTACCAGTGCCTCAGTTTACCCTGCAGGCTTGCAACCACAGGAACTGGATATTCCCAATTGATGCACAGACCTGTGCACCCTGGGGTGCAGGGACCCCAAGAGTGTCCCTGAGCAGAACCCCCTCAGTGATCCCTTCCAGCCATGGGGCACACACAAAGGACACAAGGGCTTGCAGCTCCCCACCCCCCCATCCCCACTGCCTGAGCTGGGGGGCAGTTCACTCCCCACCAGGCACAAACCACCCTCTGACCTTGCGAGCTACCACTCGCCTCCGCCACCAGTCGTTAATAAGTTAATGGTTATGGGACGGCTTTGCCAGGACGCTGGCTGTATTTGAAAGCTCTACTGGCTCTTGGGAGGGGTGGGAGGCTGCTTCCCTAACCCCACGGTCCCTATGGGTACCAGGGTGCTCACTCACCCCAACATACTTGGTGGTCACCCCACTGGTGTGGATAGACACCTCCGTCTGGAGCTCTCTCCCGGTGTTGTGACTCCCCACAAAAGCCTTTCATCATGCTTAATATTTAACGGTGCTTTATAGAGCAGCAGGTTTAATCAGCACTGATAATGCGTCGGATCCGGCAGGTCATTAAAACCTCCCTCCCTGCTGCAGCGGGCGCCGGCACTCCTGTGAGAGCTGCCTGCTGCAAACATTAACCCAGCTTCACACACGGTGACGGACTGTTTGCTGCCAGTGCTGGCCTTGGGACAGCAGCCCCCTGCCCAGTGCCCTGCCCTGGGGGAGCTTACGGGGTCCCCAGCCTCCTCAACCCATTTTGCAGGAGGGGAAACTGAGGCATGGGGCACAGGCATGACTGTCCCAGGGGTTGAAGCCAGAGGAAATATACCGTGTGGTGCCACCAGAGGCAACATCTGTGGCCCTGTCCTGCCATCCAGGTCCATCTGTCTGTGGGCTGCAGCATGGGAGGGGTGCTGGCTCCAGGCAAACATGCATCCCCCATGATCGGCCCCTTGTTACTCGTTCATGGCTGAGCAGGCAGGGAGTCAATGAGGGGATTTGTTCAGGTTAACCTCCCTGACCTCCCGGCGCTTGCCACGCCACCTCCTCCTCCTCCATCCTTGCTTTCCTCTCCATCCCTGCCTCCTCCTCCATCCTTGCCTCCCTCATGACCCCTTCCTGGGGTGACTGAAGCCAGAGGAGCCCTCTCCAGCGCCGGCACCATCCCAGGTGTCCCTCGAGGGACAAACACACATGCACCCACCACCTGTGCATGACTGTGCACACAGGGTGAATGCTTGGAGGGGTGGGAGTCTGTGCATGCACACACCTGCTATGGGGCTGGGGGAGCATGGGGCTGCACACCTGGGGGGGCTGCGTGCACCCCTG